GTGAATTGACCGACTGTCTTGCTGTGTTCCAGAATGTCCTAGGTTTTTTGATTGATTGATCATTGTTGGGGTACAGCAAAAATAAGGATTAAATCAGAAAACAATATAAGCCATAATAGTGCATCCTTTATCTACTTTTCTGTAACTTTGTAACCAGATTTCTTCTAATTTAAATTGCCAATTGGAAAGGATCACTTTCACCCAAGTTGATCAGAAACACCCTCGTGCAAGGAGTATTCACTTTGCTTTTCTCCCCCCCCCCCCGTGGGGCACAGCCAACAATTTAGCAGCATGCAAGAAGTGACATTCTTAGCAAGGTATAAATGAAATTCTATTACTTCTGCCAGAAATACTTGAATTTAAAGAGTGCTGGAGTCTTTGCTCCCATTTATACAGTACACCCAGTAGAAAGATGGATTGCACTGTGTTGCATTTTCACCCAAGTCACGAAACGGCCTTTTCTTTAGCAGGGGTTTGAAAGCCTTCGGCATTTTTACTATATATTTGTGGTAGAAGTCACTTTTGCCTGGAGGAGAAGAGAAATTGCTCCCATAGTTGAATCCATGCCAGAGAGATTTGAAAGACAAAGCTGTTGTGTACAATAAAGACAGTTTTCCAAGAACATAGAAAAGTAGACTGACTTGCAGTCCCATTTTTGTGCATCATGGGATAGTATTTTGACAGAACATCAATTTTTGAAGTGTTTTGTAATGTCATAGAATTGACAAAACAATAACTTTGCCTGGACTAACCAGTTCCAAATTGGTTTAGATTATTATTGATGCTGATAGTATTATCTCTGCTTTTGGCCTGGGCATGCATTCATGGTCATCTCTAGGGGCAACAATGCTTGCATTTCTAAAAAGTGCATTCTCTGTTGCTGTTTTGGGCTGAATTAAAAATAAAATTAAATAAAGTAAAATTATTAATTATTTTTAATTTAAGGATGCCCTGCAGCTTCCATTTTCCTTGGGGGAAGGGAAATGCATATTGTAGCATCCTGGTTTACGCTTTGTGTGATTCTCATGCCTTTCCTGTGCTTGGCAAGCACATTCAGTGATGTGGCCAGAGAGTTCTGGGAGCTGGGAAAAGGGGGTTTGAGCGACTGCTACTCTCGTGGCCTAGGTTTCTCACTAGTGAGCTAAATCCTGATGATTTGCAAAAGTGATAAAGATTTTATTTCATTCTAACTTTTATAAAAACAGACCTCTGTTTGGGGATTTGAATCAAAGTTCAGTGGAGTACATGCTTTAGCATGAAGAAATCCCTAAATTCAGTCCCTGGCATATCTGAGTGGAACTGGGAAAGACATCTGTCAGAACCTCCGGAGAACTCCAACAAGTTGGATCAGTATGGAGCAGTTTTGTCTATGGATGCATTTTGGTAGTGAATGATAATCCCTTGTATAGACTAGGTGCTTGGTGGTCAATACATGCTTACAGAAAAAGTACTTTATTATATCGAAGCAATGCATAAGTAACAATTAAACATCAAGCTATTAGAGCAACTAGCATTTCACAGATTGCTCTGGGACTAAACTTTTTGCTGAAGTAGGGGTTGCTTTTTTTTTTCCCGTCAAGAGGCAAGGCAGTTATTTTAGCTGTGATTGTTACGGTCAAAGGAATTCTTGCCTACATATCTTCTAATCCACACATTGAATATATTTTATGTTAGGTCCTTAGAGAACGCTGAAGAAACTTTAATTACGGGTTTGAAGGTGTTTACTGCTTTTGGAATTGGTTTGCTTCAGTCTAGTGATACATTGCTGATGTGGCTACTCAGATGCAGATAAAGAACTGTGCCATCAATGGCTTCCTTGTTAGTCTCATATTGAATTGAAATAAGAAAGCCAGCTGGTATATAATTGTGCATCAAGATACTGTGGATTTGAGGAACTGTATCTCAGCACTGGGTATGTTGCTAGCGATGGGCCTGTGGCAGCTAAGCTGCTAAACTATTTCACTAAGCCCCCAGTCTATTTCAGAAAACCCTGAGGGTCCAATGGTGCCAATGGAAGCTTTTTTCCTAAGTCGTTATACAGGAGTGGGGTTAGGCAGTTTCTTCTGAAAGAAAAGAAAAATTGGGAGAGACAATGGGAAAGGACAAACAACTAGATTAAATAATTTGTACAGAACTTTCACCAACTATTTGTATGTCTAACATCCTGGTATTAAACATATAAAAGGTTGTGTGTGTGTGTGTGTGTGTATGTGTGTGTGTTGGGCTTCTTAAGGTCCTTGTACAACTTTTTGCCCTGCACTTAATGTGTGAAAAGGGGGATCTTCTAGCCCACATCATATATTCTTTTCTTGATTTATCTATATGAAGGCCAGAAACTGCTGAGCAGAAAAAGGAAGGAGTCTGTCCACCCTTATACTCTTATCTGTACCTCCTAAGAACACAAGAAAGGCCCTGCTGGATCAGGCCAAGGGCTGACATAAGCCAGCATCCTTATGTGCATCAACCAGATGGACATAAGAAGCTCATGAACATGGACAGGAAGACAACACTCTTCTTAGGTCATCCCAAGGGCTGGTCTTCTGCCACTATTCAGATTTATTATTCATAGTTCAGGATGTACTGCATAGCTGTTAAGCTTCTAACCATGGACAGCCTGATCCTCCATGCATTTTAAAACCATATTAGTGACCATTGCCACATCTGACTGCTACAAGTTCCATCATTTAACTATTTGTTGTGTAAAAAAATCTTCCTTTTATTGGCTGTTATTAATCTTATATACTGTCACGTCCCCCTGATCTCTTTTTGCTCCAAGCTTTGCTCATAGACACTTCCTCATGGGGAGCTACTCTTTCCCTTAATCATGTTTGCTGTTCTCTTCTGCCCATTCTTTCCCACTCTTGTTCTAGGGTCTCTTTGTCTCTCCCACATTACCCAGTCCTTATTCCACAGTGTATCCCCTCTTTGTGATTCCCAACACCCAGATCTGTCTCTTCCTTACTTCACCTCTTCCCCGCCCCTTCCTTAGCATCCTCTAGAGAATTTTTTACTTTGAAGTGATTTGGAAAAGAAGTTATCAACAGATTGCTGTGTGTTATATGAAATATAAAGAAATCCTAGTTATTATTTCTAAACGTGCATATAGAAATATACACTAAGCTTATGAAAAGCCATGAGATTGGTGTCCTCTACCTAAATCTTTTGAACACTCCTGAGTGCCAATTACGTTTTTACTTACATTTTTGTAATACATAAGATATTCCTTTATTTCATAATCTGTGGGATATTACATTATGGAAAGTGGCTAAAAAAAATCACAGGGTTTTATGGCTCTCTGGCAGTAACAGAATACACACACACATACAAACACAGACCCAGTGTGGACAACACTGCTTTGTGTCTTGAAGTAGTTTTTTACTATAAGGCTTATACTGTGCCTAATGTCTTTCAACAATTCCTTTCTCTCACAAGGGAGAGACTACAGACTTACTATACAACCATAAAAGGTGCGTGGTAAATTTAAATTCATTGTAACCTGCTTCTAGAGTCTGAGTCTATGAAAATATACACTGAGAAATCAACTTCAATTTTGTTTTGTATTCTCAAAAATTGTAACTCTGGATTAGGATAGGCTAGGTGGTGGGGATTAATTTGGCCTTCCCTTTGAAGCACCCTAGCAATCTTGCCTTTTGAAAAAGAAGGATCCGATATTGAATCATGGTTTTTAAATAGTAAACCACTGTTTGAAAGAATCTTGTTAGTTTGCTGTTGGCTTAGTGTGATATATAAAATGGGGGCATGGTTTGTTCAAGATTACTTATAACTTATACTACTTAACTTATTTTTATTTGATTTTGTGCTCTTTTGGGTTTTGTTTTTTTTTATCCTGCCTTTATTATTTTTATAAGTAACTCCAGGTGGCAAACATACTTAATACTCCTTCCTCCTCCTATTTTCCCCACAACAACTCTCTGAAGTGGGTTGGGCAGAGAGAGTGACTGACCCAGAGCCACCCAGCCGGCTTTCATGCCCAAGGCAGGACCAGAACTCTCAGTCTCCCGGTTTCTAGGCCAGCACCTGAACCACTAGACCAAACTGGCTCTCTTTTGAACCTCTTTTTTGAAAAGTGGATTTGAAGAAATCCACTTACTTGTTTAGCAGCAACAGGTGCCAACAGGTAAATTTGGTTCATTTGCAAGACATTGTTTGACATGATACGGAAATATTCTGCTGGCACCATAGCTGCAATCTGATCTTGGTTTATAGTCATGTGCTGCATAGGACCTTTCCTTTCAGTGCAGTATTTTCTGGTATGACAATTCTAGGATTCCTTTTGGACAGCTCAGTCACCACACATAAACCAAGTGAACTAAAGCAGATGTAGACTGTTTTTAACTCCTGACACACACAAACCCACAAAGTTCTTGTAGCAATTGTTTTAACCATGCCAACCATTTATTTATGCTTGCATAGCAGTTTTTAGTTCAATTTATTAAGTCTCCTTTGCCCATCTCTTTCTTTGATGGCTGAAAATCAGGCAGAGTTAATAAATTCAGGTGTTGCTGGGGAAAGTGGAAAGTTGATGTACTTGTCAGAAACTTACTTGGAAGATGCAGTTGTTATTGATATGGCTTCTCCTGCCCAAGCTATATTCTGTAATGTGGAAGTTGCATAGGTCCAGATTACTTTAGGAAATCATGTACTGTCATTACCGGACGTCTAGGCCACTCATGATCACTTATTAAAATGTCACGATTTTGGGCCTCCTTCAAGTCCATAGAGGGGGGTAAAATGCTTTGATTTCAAAGATACAGTCACATTTAGGTTGGTTATGTAGATCATTGTGCCCTTGCAAAAAGGAGTCAATCCTTCCCTCTTTTAGATACTGAAACTGGTGGTCAAAATTTTCTTCTAGATTTTTCAGTTCCAAACCATAATTGCCTTTAATGATGATTAGAACAATAAACACTTGCTTTGAAACTTTTCTTAATTTCTTCATACTGAAACTAAATTTATTTCTCATTTCTTTATCCCTACAGCTTGCTGTACCGCACAGTGATGAATGGTCTCGATTTGCACGCACTTTGGTAGAGATCCGGGCCAACAGAGCTGACAGTGAAGAAGAAGGCACCATGGAAATATCTGCTTAGAAGAAAGCATAACCCTTCCCTCCTAGCTGTTGATGACATCTCCATTGAGCATCAGGCCAGTGCACTGTTGCTAGCGGTGTTCCTGCCAGCATTACTCATCCGTTCAGCTTCTTTCCTACTAATCATGCTGTGCTTAGTAGCCTGGAAGTGTTCAGAATAGTTTCCTGTCTCACATTTCTTCTAGCAAAGTTATGAATAAGAAAAAATGAAATGCAAGTGAGTTACACTGCTACCTGGTTGACTACTTTAGTAACTGCAGTAAGCAGCTAGAAAACCCCTGGATAAACTTGGGCTCACAACCTTTTCTTGGCACAGTCCTGGTAAATCCATATGAAGTCAGATATGATGGGTTGCAGATGTGATGTGCTTTGTGACCTAGGACTGGGCCAAAGAATTTAGATGTGGTGTTTCATATGGTGACTTATATTATGAATGGATGTACTGTATGAATATTGCTATTCCTTATCTATTGCAGTCTGCTGCATGGAACGTATTTATTTAAAAGCAGTAAAGCATGTGCATAACGAACCAACATTCATTGTCTTCCCATGCATGTTGGAGTCATGTTGAATTCCAAATAACAATTACAGGATGTCACTTTGTAAAAAAAAATGGTATCTGTAATGGGTTGAATAAATCAAACTTTAAAAATACCTATTATTTCCTGGCAGTTTAATATTACATGTTGGTCACCGACACTTGTTACAGACCAGTAGTAACAGTCTGAATTGGGGTGCAGTTATAGAAGGTTACTACTAAGTCAGTGTTGAAAGGTGTGCTGTAGCCATGTCAGTTACTGTTTTTGTATTAAACTTATCTCTAATAGTAAATAAGAGAATTTGAATAAAGAGGCTTATATAGTTGTAACATGACTTGCTCTTTTTTGCTTTTTTTAAGTTAAAACAATAAATTCAGTCTTACGGGTTAGAGTCCTTTCAATGTTCTTCTAATGCCAACCTTAAGAAACAAACCTGCATGGAAATTAAATTCTTGTCCCATACCAGTTGTGCTTTGTAAGAGCACAATGGCTTGGTGGTTAAGTATATTTTTTCAACCCAATACCTTCATAAACTTGCTGAAAAAGTGCAGGGCTGGCTCAAGATACACTGCTGCTTGAGGTAAAAGAGGTCCTCCCTTCCCAAATACATTTCACCCATGGAAGCCATTTGGGCTGCTAGGTGAAGTTACTTCAGAATAATGGGACAGAATTCTCTTCCTCACCTAAGGTAGAGTGCAGTGCTAGCTACCTGGACTAGCTTCCAACAGAAGGAAACAGCCAGGAAGCTGTCTTCCAAGCCACCCAGCACGTGTCACTTTAGTAGTCTGCCTAATAGTTGAGCCATCCCAGAAAAGCCAAGTCTGTCCAAACTATTACATTACATAAGCCTTAAACCTCTAAGATTGTCTTGGTGGTTGTAACCATATACAGAGTATTTGAGTGAACTAAACTTGCCTTCTGCTCCAGAGTTTGGCCATTCATAATAGAAAATCTTCCATGAACAATTTGATTGACGGTGGCTAAATTCATACATGCTAAGCCATAATTGGTTTGTTTTGACAATGTGTTGCATTAATCCAGCCAACTGTGGTTTATTCACTAAATCGATGACTCAACTTACATGAACCCAGTATGTGTCTCATTCTGAAGCTGATGTTTCGATCTGGAGGCATATGTTCTGAAGCAAGATCTCATCCCTAATCTGCTCAGACTAGCACATAGGAGGTGTGTTTTGTCTTTATATGTTTATTTAGTACATTGATTTGGAAGGCTTTTATTCTTCGCCACTCGTGGATTTCCAGGTAGAAGGCATGTCCAGCCAACGGAAGGAATATACTTATATTCTAAAATTGCAAGCTATCAGCGCTAACCAAGTATTTTTTTGTTGTTGTAATCAAAACTTTAAACCAGTAAAAACTGCAGCACTAGAACCATACTTTTAGGTCATACTTTGTGAATAATTTGAACTTGGAAGTGGTTTTATTGTAAGCTTTAAAAATCCAGTCAAATCAAATCAAATCTTTATTAGAGTCAAAGACCAGCATAAGGAGGGTGGGGTACAGTCAATTTAAAAAACATAGAAAATACATAAGAAAAATAATAAAAAAGCTAAAAGTTACAAAATAGAAAGTAGTACAATATCTAAAAGGAATCTAAAAGAAAAATTATGAAACGGTGGAAGACATAAAAAATATATTAAAACAGTATAAATAAAAAAACTACAGGAATCGAAAAGGAGGGGTAGAGCCATGGGTGTAGGGGAGCATATGGCAGACTATATCAAAGTACAGAGCACTCTAGATGCTCATTTTGATTCGTTTATGGCACAGGTCATCATCATCGGACTAATTTTAATCACTGCTGTGCAGAACCTGGCAATATATGTTGTACCAGGGTTGGTATCTGAAAGCAGCAGGGAGGTATAGAATTGTCTTGGAGTATTTATGCAGTAATGGTGAGATGAGGCTAGTATAAATGTCACTGTAATACAGGCACTGGAGAAGCACATGCTCAGTTGTTTCTGTGTGTCCAGTCACAGGGGGATTATCTGTCTGGGTAAGGGATCTTCCTGTATCAGTCTTCAAGGACAGCTGAGGGGAGGGCACAGCATTGTGCCAGAGTAAAGGCCCTCCAGCATTTAGGTATTTCAAGTTTAGTTAAGTATGCCAGAGGGGAGGCAGAGTACTTGTTGGATTCACTGGAAACAAAGGTTGGGGACCTGGCTAGATCCAATTGGTGCTCTGGGTCTGCTACACGCTATTTAATGAGTGCTTTGGCCTGATCATATCCCATGCCGAGTAGAAGCCCTGGAGAGAAGCCCAGGGATGAGATTTTAGTTGTCGTTGCCTGTTTCCATGTGGACTGAAAATTATCACTCATAGTTAATGGTGCAAGGCCAAGGGGAAAAAAGGGTAGTCTGAGCCAATAGTTGAGTATGGTCACCCACACTTTAGCCTCAACTTTCATGAGGCTTGTCTCTAGTCCCAGGGTGGCACTAAAAACACATTTTGGGACTGGAAGGGCCGATCTTAGAAATTTGGATTGTACAAGTTCCAACGGTACAAAATTGGAGAAGCGGCCCAGCTGGGCAGCATAAAGAAGTTGACCTATTGGCTTGGCTTTGAATAACTTGAGTGCTGCAGGTATGTAATGTCCACCTCTTAAGGAATTTAAGAATGGCAGATGAGCTCCTCTGTGCATTTACAGCAACATAGTTCCCATGGGCTTTCCTTCTATTGTTCCCATGGGCTTTCCTACTATTGGTAAAATGAAGGAATACCCCTCCGCCTCCCCCAGGTATTTGAAGCAGGAGGCCTGCTCAACCTTGTGGCCATCTATGCTCCAGGAGTGGCTCTTGGGCCTTTTGGCAAATGCCATGGTTTTAGTTTTTTGATAATTGAGTTCTAGCTGTCCTCCTTGCAGTACTGTGTTAGTGCTCTCAGTGCTCTTTTAAGGCCAATAGGTGTTCTTGACAGTACTGCAGCATCGCCTGCACAGAGTAGGACAGAGGTGTCTTCCAGCAAGTTTTGGGGAGTGAAAGTTTGTGTTGTGGAGATGGCTCACCACAGAGTTGATATATTGAATAAGAGTGGGGCAAGTATGCAGCCTTGCTTGATGCCTTTCTTGGTTTTAATGGCACTGGTGAGATGGCCCTGGGGGGGAAGGGGCTGTAGAAAGTAGCCCCTGGGACACAGATTTCCCACCCCATATAGCAAGTTCCTCATTTGGCCTGCAGACAAAATGTTTAAACAGCACAGTTGTGTATCTTTGTGCAGCTTCAAGGAAATGGCTTGTGAAGTTGGGTTTTTCTGTCCATACCTCTCAGTCCTTAAAGGTGATCTGAACAAATTGTATGGTCCTAATATTCCAGGAACCATAGGATGAAAATTAAAAATGAGACATCAAAAGGTGTCCAACATACTTTGGAGTCTACTGGAAGGAGTTTTAAAATTATTTGATAAGAATGTGTATATCCTTGCACTGAGTGACCACATAATTTAAAAGTTACATATATCCACTATTTGAAGAGATGGGATAACCCACACAGAAATAGTTGCCAAGTAAGAGTTACAAAAACCAGTTTTATTTTGGTACACATGCATACAGGCACAGGCACACACACACACAATGCGTTGGGGATTGTTCTTGATTAATTTTACTCATCTAGAACAAGGGTGCACAATTTCTGGATTGGAGACTGCGCTCCAAAAAGTAGTGCACAGAGTCAGGACAAAGCTTCACTTTAATTTACATTTAGTTTTCCTGATTTAGAAATACAGCAACATTAAAAATTCAAATCTGCTATCATGATACAACGCAACATTATCCCCTTTCTGCTTCCAACTGTATGCTGTTCCAGCTCTGGGATCGCTTCTCCAAATCCCACATACTTATATATGGAAATGTGGCCGTGGACACAGAGCTGCATGCATACAATTCCATGCACAGAAGTCTGAGGGGATCATTTTCAAAGTAAATGAATAGGCAAAATATTTGTTCTGGTTGTTGTTGTTGTTGTTACTGAAAAATCTTTTAATTCAACAAAGTTGGTAAGAATTTTCACAGAAGTATTTTCTAGTTACAAGCTAGCAATTAAGGCAAATACCATTAATACAGTGCTTGAATTCTTCTATTGCATTTATTTAAACAAGCAGCAGTTATTCCTAAGTGCATTTACACACACAAAAAAATCCCAAATATTGGTAGGGGCAGATTCCAGACCTGTTGGGTGCAGCCTCCATTCAAGTCAATGCAGCAAAGCATGGAAGATGACTGAGAGCCATACAATGGTAACTGTTGATGGCTCTTGCCTGGGCTGTGAAATGTCATGGCAGAGAATAATAGGGCCACGTGTTCTTCCACAAAGTGCATAGATTATGGAAAAGCTACGTTTCTTTCCCAGGTTTATCCAGTCATAATTCTGTTAGCAGGAATGTAAATTGTTTAACATGTGTTGACGCGGTTTAAGTTACAAAAACGTATTGCCCATAAAAGCTCTATAATATAATTCAGGAATGCAATGTATGTAAAACGCAGTTGCAGAATCAGGTACTGCTCATATCGATACCTTTGAATCCTATTGTACACGGACTGAATATGTAACCAATGCATAATCTGATGGTTTAAATAATTATTCATATAGCATCATGATCTCTGTTGCATATATGAAAATCCTACATACATACATACATACATACAAATACATGTGTAAGTGTGTACACAGGTGCCTGTGTGTGTGTGTATGTGTGTGTTCACACACACACCCACCCATATATATGTAAATGTATATAAGACTATATCCAACAGAGCTGTGCAGTTTGGATTTGAAGGCAAATAGTTACTTTGGAATACTTGAAGGCATGAATCTAGCACTCCTTAAACCAAAGGTGTGTTTTCCGGGGATTGTGTGGCAGCCGCACAGGACAATTGCACGATCCCAGAAAAAGCAACAGCTGCTTTAAGCAGTTGCAGATGGACTACATTCACATATTTGTACTGTAAAGCTCATTTTTGCCTTTGAATCTGAAGTGCTGCTCAGCCCTCATCCCTATTATGCAGCCAGGATGGCAGAACAATCTTCGTCTGCTGCAAAAGGCCACATTCCTCTATGCCCACATTCCCTGTTTGCCCACCAACAAGAAAAATAATTAAGTATGAGTATCTTTTCCAAATTAGCCCAAGTACATTCACAATCCCAAGTATAAGTAATTAGGGAAAAAAGATACATTCATGGGTCCAAACTAACAACTATTTTAGCAGAAACTTCACAGTGATCTGACATAGGAAGCACAAATGTACATTTGAAGTGGGAAAATGGGGAAGAAAAAGAAATTTCTAGATAAGGCTTGGTTGA